TTATCATCATTATTATTATTAATATTATTATTGTTATCGTTATTATTATTATTATTATTTGGTGCGTACGTTAGACAACTTGTTTATTTGTTATTATCATTATTATCACTATAAATTTTTTTTTTCATTTTCTATCGAGCATTACAAGTTCCCTTTTTGAGTTGAGCAACCAAATGTTGATTGATGTATGTATACGCGCGTCTGTAAAGTTTCCTTGAATCCCACCCTCAAGCATGAAGAAAAAATCGCCTGCCTTCGTGAATTCTGTACTTAGGCATAAAGGAGAAGGTAGGCACTCTTAATGGAGCGACGCTCTAGTTCTCTTTATGCTAACCACGAAGATGTATAGTAAGTGTAACTGATTGGCTTACAGTAAACCTTCAAACTAGCGGAATACAACCACAATTAAACTCCATCTAATTTAACGAAAACAATAAGATAATTAATTAGGCCATTTTTAAAAATGAAGTTCTCTGAAGGTTAACTACAGAATTTGATGTGTTATAGGTTGTAACAACTGTATTGAGTAAAAAAAATCTTTCGAATAAAAATATCTTTCGATTGACATTATGAATTTGTGATACAAAATGATAGGCTATTTTAAGTGTTATATTGTCAGCACGGGCCCTGAACCTCCTAATTTTTTCAAAATTATTTAAAAAAAATTGGAGAAAACAGACAAAATTGTATTCAACTTTTAATTTGAGAGTGCCATTTCCGGCCATCTAGAGGTGCCATAATCATAATCTTTCTTACCTCAGCCCCAAAAGTTGTGCGGATTAGGTGGGTGGACATTTTATTTGCGCAAACCCTGCCTGGGTCCCCTCTATTTCGACTTCTATCCGCCACAGTTGGAGTATCATTTCCGGGTTACATAGAGGGGTAAATTTTATCCATCGGAGGAAAAGTGAAGTTGTAGTCGGGGAACCCATATCAAAGATAACCCTTATGATAAATATGGAGATATAACGAAAATTATATTCAAATTTATGTTTAAGAGTGAAATTTCCCGCAATCTATAGGTGCCATAATCACAAATTTTCTCACCTCAGCCCCAACCATGGTGGGACTGAGGTGGTATAGCTCTTCTATCTGTGAAAGTACCCTCCCTGGACCCTTCTATTTCGAATTCCTCGATCCGCCACTGGAAATTACAACAAATATGTCATATTACAGTAGCTTGATGCCTATAAAATGACTTTTCACCAAACGTAAAATAAAAATTGGTAAAACATCCGTAGACCCCCCACCGGGGCTCTAGACGGCCCCCTGGCCCCCAGCCTAGATGCTCGCTTCGCTCGTATATTGGACGTCATGAAATGCCCCCCCCCCACCCTTCAAAAACGTTCCGCCGCCGTTGTGTGGTATTAGAATTCGTCCTTATACAAGGTGATAAGATAATAATGTCAGTGTGAACATAGGAGGTAGGTTATTTGTAGTAAATTATCTTATGAATTATATCTGGGATATACATCTTGTATGATATATCACATACAAAACCTGTGCATGTTATATGAAATACTGTATGATAAAATTAGTTATTCCCATGTTTTAACCCATCTATGATTCGAACAAATTGCTTCCAATAGCTTGTCTATACAACTATCTACGTAACACCTTTCAATGTAATACAACCCAAATACTCGTGAAATAATCAGGGTAACCAATTGAAGTTGTGGGTATACGAGGGCATTGGCAAAAATAATGGATTTTACTGTGGGGGTGGCGGAGAATGGGGTGCTGAATCGATACCAATCACTGATGATAAAATACTCCATGCCTTTAACAAAGAAATCTCTTTTCTCAGCCCTGACTTCAACAAAGGATTTTTTCTGGTCTCAGCTAGAGCACAATAAAGGTCCGCATCATTGGGACACTGTTGCACACTGATTTTATTTCTACTAAATATCTCAGGAAGTTGTAGCTGTATGGGCAGGAGTGCCCCAGCAAGAGCTGCTCCACTCCCACTAA